GTTGTCACATTAAGATAATCTGCCCTGTCAAGGCTATGGAAGCCTATTTAAAAATTAGGGGACCGAACCCAGGATACCTTTTTATACATAGGGATGGTTCCCCTTTGACAAAGTACCAATTCTGGAAGTTAACAGATTTGGCCCTTCAAAAGAAAGGAGATCAAGGTCTTAGATTTGGTACGCATTCCTTCAGAATTGGTGTGGCATCGATGACAGCAGCCCTAGATTACCGCCCAGAGGATAAAACTGTTAAGATGATGAGCTTCGTCCTCTTAGGGCACTTCCTAACTTCTAGGCAGGGGCCTATTTTGTTTGTGTCTTGCAGGTACCACGGTGGAAGACACATCATGATTGCAGGTGTGACGTTCACCCTTGTGGCCCCTGCTTGTCTCCCCAAACACAGAGCTCACAAAGGTAAACCAAAACCTCTCTTCACACAGTGCCACCAGTTGATCTCCTTATTGACATACTTTACTTAGGAAATATGAAGGTCAGGCAGGGGCCTATTTTGTTTGTGTCTTGCAGGTACCACGGTGGAAGACACATCATGATTGCAGGTGTGACGTTCACCCTTGTGGCCCCTGCTTGTCTCCCCAAACACAGAGCTCACAAAGGTAAACCAAAACCTCTCTTCACACAGTGCCACCAGTTGATCTCCTTATTGACATACTTTACTTAGGAAATATGAAGGTCCATTCAGTACTGACCTATTAATAAAACAGGGTTATCGATTACAGATGGTTTCTAGGATAATTCATAAGCATATTCTTTCAGTTTCACCAAGCATCAATATTAACCTGTGATATTTAATATAGAAGATTACTAATCACTCCTCAGACTAATCACTCCTCAGATCCCCAAACTATTTCTCTTTTTCTCTGATTCCAAACTCTGACTCCCTTAGACTCTCTGATTGACTGACTCCTCTCTCAGGCTCCACCTTTTTAACATCTCTCTTGGCTCCGCCTCTCAACCACATTAGCATAGAGCATGAATAAGACATGACTTATTACCTAACAAAGGGTGAACACTACAGTGGGCCACAGCTACATTTTTTGGGCAGCTCGGTATGCTGCGGTGTCCCCATGGGGAGTTGTCGATCTAGAAGCATGGGCCCTTATCGAGTGGAGAGGGCACCGAGGGATGCTTTGGAATCAGATTTGCCGTTTGGCTGCCTTTGGTCACCACCCACCAGAGGTGCTGGTGATACACCTGGGTGGCAGTGATTTGACCAGGCACTGTGGGAAGGCCCTGATCATTGATGGCCCATGTTTAATCCATATTTTTTGGTTCACTTGTTTATTCCGGGGTTAGGGGGCAAAGAAGGAACACACGCACACGCACCACACACACAACTGGTTGGATGGACGACTGGGGAGCCTGTGACCATCCTGATGTTCTTGTGGACTCCAGTTCACACTTCAGCAACTGGTAAGAGATAATTAGATTACTGATTGTTGGCCAAAAAAAAAAAAATCATTTCAAGTCTTGATGCTGGGGCGCTCACCATTCTGGTCCACGCGCTCGTACTCTCGAGATTAGACCACTGTAATGTGCTCTACGTGAGGCTACCTTTGAGATTGATGCAGAAGCTCCAAATGGTGCAGAATGCGGTGGCCAGAATTCTCAGTGGAGTGAGGAAACACCAACATATCACTCCCACCCTGGCCACCTTGCATTGGTTGCCCATGCACTTCCCCGTTGATTTCAAAGTTTTAATGATTACATACAAAGCCCTAAATGGTTTAGGGCCTCGATACTTGATTGAATGCCTCCTTCCACCTAGATCTACCCACACCACTCAATCCAGTCAGCAGGGGTGACTGAGAAGCCTAACATCGAGGGAGGTCCGGAAAGAAAAAACAAGACACCGGGCCTTCTCAGCAGTGGCTCCTTCTCTCTGGAACAAACTCCCCTCCGAGATTCGCTTGGCTCCCTTGCTGGGTATTTTCAGAAACCAACTTAAGACCTGGTTGTTCAGACGGGCCTTCCCTCCAGGCACTACTTAGTTTTCTTCTTCCCATCTTGAACTATTGTTTTCATTGTATATTGTCGAAAAACTGTCAAATATATATTTTAAATTGTTTTTATCTTGTATGTTGTGAGCCGCCCAGAGTAGACTATGTCTAGATGGGCGGCATATAAAAAATGAAAGTTTTTTTTCTGTTTTCCCATTAATGTTTCCCATTTCTGACAGTCCAAAAGCCCTAAAGAATGTTTAAGAATGTTTACGATCTACTCCAAAAAAAGTATAACCAAGGCAACAAAGAATCAATCTACTCCAAAAGCAGGCAACAGTACATGAGAAACTGTGTGTGTGTGGGGGGGGGAATCATCATCAGACCTATACATTGCTCCTGCAGGTAAGATACCCCACCACTACAATCCTACACACACACACAAACACACAAACACACACACACACACACACACACACACAAACACACACACACAAAATTTCACTTACCCACCAACCAGTTCAAAAAGGTTGCCATTGATATCTTCCCTTCTCTCTCAGAGCCCAGCCAGGGGATGATGGAAGATGATGAGTGCACCTTTCACTAGGGCATGATCGAGGGACAATATTGATTGCTCCAGTCATTAAGGTAATGAGACTTGGAAAGATTCTCACTCTAGAAACTTTCCACCAAAAAGAGGTTACAAAAGGTAGAGAGCCTGAGGGACTGAAGACTGAGATGGCTGAAAAAGGAGAGGAGAAGGTGAGTGGAGCCAAAGAACAGGCAAATGCCATGGGATGGAGCAGGGGGATGATTACCAGGCCATCTCTTCTTTGTGGGCAGTTTCTTTTCCTCTGATCAACCCTTCAAAGACTGAGCCACCCACTCCCCAGTGTAGCAAGGGTTGATCACTTTGGTTTATGTCAAAAGAATCTGAACCAAAGGTAGGTTGCCGGTGTGGCAGAGTTTTGAATTTTAGCTAAAAACTTCTAGCTGCACAGAGTAGAATTAGATTCAATTCTCCCAGAGTAAACTATCCACGTTTGTCTCATCAACTGGCACTTACAGTCTCAATAACTCAATCTGAGACATTCAACTCACAGTTGAATAGATCAAAACAGCATACTGTATAATGACTGGTTATAGTAGTAGGTCCTTAAAAACTCACAGCCTGCTTCCAGCAGACTACATTCTAACTGCAGCCACATAACTGCACTAGCTGCATAACTGCCAGTAGACTAAAAAGAAGGGCGGGAGGAAAGACACTTAAGCAGAGAGGTGTATCTCTCTTCAAAATCAGAGGCAGAGAAGGAACAATTGGATTGATTGACAGTCACCCCATCCCAGAAGGATCCCTCCCAAGGAAACCTACTAGAGGTAGCACAGGAGAGTGAAATAACTCCAACAGCCAGTAGGATCTGCCCACTGAAACTGGTGAGCCTGCTCTGGCAATGACCACTCTGACACCAACCCAGCTGAGACAGTGGTGCCATCAGAGACAGTTTAAAAGGCTGTACAAGGAGAAAGACTTAAAGGAGGAAAAGAGAGTTCCTTACCAGCTAATCCTCAAGGACTGTGGAGGGTAGAGAAGTTAACTCTCCTCCCTTTTCTGGACTAAAGAAGACATCAGTTAAGTAGAATTTCCTGGCAGAGACTAAGAGACTACAGATAAGGTCGAGAAGGAAACATAATGAAGACTGAGATCACTAGTAGGCCTGCTCTGTACATAGATCCACAATAGATCTTCAGTTCATTATGCTTATCTTTCTTACAAGGATGAACAATATTAGTGGACCTTAAGGATTTCCCCATACCGACAGACAGGTTGGGGACCCTCAAAGGCACTCAAAAAAGTAACAAAGAGTTCAGTGTGAATTCAGTGCCACCCACTCAGTACTACAGACTATCTGGGCCTGGACAGCACAATAAGCAATAAAGGCAAGGAAGCAGCCATGAAGGCAGGCATTGGCTGTCTGGCACTCACTTGCTAAGGCAATGAACTACACCAAGAGCAGCAAGAGAGAAATGCCCCCAGCTGTGCCCAGCCAACAAAAAACACCACCCATATAGCCCATATTGGATGTTTTTCACTTTCCTTGGCATACTGCCTTTATGATGCAACTAAGGTGTCATAGGGGCAATGTTCAACAGGCAAACACTTATTATAACTACAGTTGTATTACTACCCACAGCATGGAAGCCTATGGATTGTTGCACCAGACTTTCTTTCCTTCTGTGTATGAACAGGAACTCAGGGAAGGTTGGGGTGGAGGAAGAATTGAAACTGCAGATTGGTAAGAATGAATGAGGATAAGGATCCTCAATGGGGCAAGGTAGCTAGCCGGCAGATGTGGCCAGAAAGGTATTCTGGCTAAATGGGACAATCCTTTACATAAATGGCATTAACAGCAGAGTGCTTGGATGTGAGACAGAGACGGATAGATACAGAGATACCAACATCTTAGCTGGGGACCATTGATTGCAAAAGATGGCCAAGTTCATTTCATTCTTTTTAAAATGGTGAATAACATAGATAGTAGTTTGATAAAGTTGAATTGTACAATGTTAACTTACATGGGGCTTTCTTTCTAGACATGGTGCAAGGATTATTTTTGTTCCCAAAGTGCTAATAGAACAAATGATTATATGTGGAACAGATGAATTCTTATTAGTACACCATTTTCCAATCAAACAGAAAGGAATAAAGCTCTCCAGCTCCATGTCCTCTTTTGAGGGTCCCAGTCAGTGCAGAAGTAACATAGAATCTAAGATTGTGAGGTCACATTCCAGAAGCAAAGAAACTGACATTGCAGCAGAAGCCATTAGATTCCCTCACCAGCCAAATATGGAAAAATAATATAAAGCTCACAAAATCGGTAAATTTTAAGGAGAACATATATAAGATGTTTTATAGGTGGTACATGACTCTGAAAAAATTGTCAAATATTTATACAGAGTGTCAAATGTGTATTGGAAGTGTGAAGTACAAGAGGGAAGCTTTATCATATGTGGTGGACTTATAAAGAAGCAAAACAGTACTGGGTAGCAATACGTACTTTGTTACAAAAAATATTGCTTTGTAATGTTCCACTAACCCCACACACATACATACATACATACATACATACATACATACATACATACATACATACATACAACTAAAATTACATCTTAGTTTAAATCTATGTTACTCAAGCTCTATCAACTGACTCAAGCCATTTATATAATAAATCCCATTGTTCAGTTGACTTTCGTATTGGACAGTCTTTCAACACTTCCGATAGTATATCCATTTCTGCGACTTCCCATATCTTCTCGAGGAGCTCCTCTTGTTTCGGTATCTCTGATTTCTTCCAGTTCTTAGCATAAAGAATTCTGTCTGCAGTTGCTATATATATAAAAGACCTATTTTCACTTATATGTATACGTATATATATGTATACATATATATACAACGCAAACAAACAGGATTTGATGACAGTCCCCCCCCCTTATTTCCCCCACATCTCCCTTTACCTTCTGTATTCCTTACCTTATCCCCAGCTTTAAAATAAAATAATAACAAAAAAATGATTCGCTCACCAGCAAAGAATCTCTCTGGACAATTGGAACACCAAAAGCATTTTAGCTTCAATTCAACTGTAGAGGTTGAGCGTGAGATAGTTTTGTCTGCAGTTGCTGCTAGGGTTTTTAACACAGTAAGAAACTCTTAATGGCTTTTGAACCACAACACAGACATTCATTGAACCAACAATGGTCAGCCTTCTTCAACAAGCCTCAATAAAATATGTCAGTAGGTTTCACTATAAGTGGCTCAGGCAAAACCTGGAACAAAAAAAGGGGAAATAATGACAATTTCCAGCACTTTTTAATGTGCTGTACCTGTGGCAATTATTCTAATAGTCATTTAGTAAAAGATACAGTATACTTCAGAAGACTTTCCATATTTAACAGTTGTGGGTCAATATGCTGGAGTGAGAAAAGGAACAGAAAGGGAAAATGTATCTGTTCTCATATATTTGAGGCTTACAACAGTAAAACATTTATGTCAATCCATCTTCATTAGCTGTGTGGAAGTTCCCCTACCTTCTCTATGCCCAAATAAATAGTTCATAGATGACTTACCTGTCCTATAATCCTTAGAAGAAATTACAATCAATTCCTTGTATGAGTCCATAATGTTACTCCTGCATTTCCAGATCTTGATTTTTTAAAACATTCTCTCTATTGGGGAATTTCATTTGCTGTACTGCAGTGGGGCTCTGCAGCACCATCAATATTGGTAGACCTCAAATATTCCATGTAATGCAATATATTGGGATATATACCTCTCAGGTTAAGGGTTCAGGCATCTTAAAGGTTACCTTTGCACTTGGACCAAAAAAGATAAATAGAGCCATGCCATTACTGCCCAATTGTCTCTAGTCTCTGGATCCTGAATAGCCTAAGCCAAATCAGTTCTCCTTGAATCCTGGTGGGGTCCTCTTCCACTTCACAAATCTCATGCAAAGAAAACTGGAGGCAGTCCTAATAGACTAAGCAGGCTGATATCCAGAGGAATGTTGGTTTCCTGGACATCTGATGGTACACAGTTCAACTAGCCAAGGTAATTTCAAGAATTAAAAATGGCAGAGGAGGATAAGACTTTATTACCATAATTGTTGTGACCCGTACACATAAACCCCATACAATTAGTGCCTTTCCATAATCACATGCACACTCAGTCCTAAAAACATAAGTAAAGTTTAGGAAACTAAGGTAACAGCAAAGAAAAAAAATGATCCAGAATGCAAAGAGTAACTTTAAAGAGTAACTGGGTACAGTATTGTACCCAGTGACCCATTTCGTTTGGCCCTACAGCTCCATGAAGCAGCTGACCAAATGGCTGCAAAGAGATACACATACCACTCATTGACTGCTGTCTGAGAACCTCCTAAGATCTCAGAGATTGGACTGTCCAGGGGGATCTTGGACCTTACTGGGGATACAACATTCACTCACTTTCTCTGTTGTTGTATCTAGCTCTGTCTACTGATACAGTGTACACTTTTAACTTTTTCCTTCACACCAGTGAGCTTCCTTTACAACTTTTTAACCAGTAGCTCTGTCTACTGATACAGTATACACTTTAAACTTTTTCCTCTTCCACTTCACATCAGTGAGCTTCCTTTACAACTTTTTAACCACTCAGATGTTGGGTAGAAGGACTTGTAATTTTATTGTACCATGCCATGAGTAATCAGAGGTTCTTCGCTGCACCCCATAGTCACCCTGGAATTGCACAAATACCCCTAATTTGTCTGGGTTTTCCACATTAGTACAAAAAGAGTGCATGCCTCTATTGCTTATTGTACTATCATTGATATCACAGAGGAAGGTGCTCCAACCCTCCTAGGAATTTATATTACTGTCTGAGGCACTGTATAACCTACAGTACTACTATAAAATGCTGCTCATGATGCAATGATGATAATAGTGGTGACAATGAAGATTATTATAGTGAACAGGGGCATACAATTCAACATCACGTTCTTCTCTGCTCCTCTTTTTCAGGATCATCCCTGTGCTCTTCTCTACCACCAGCTTTTCTCTGCATGCAGAACTGTACTGGCTGGATGGCTGCACAGAGACAATTAACTGCAGACTTATAGGTCCAAAATTTTATGAAGAACACCAAACTCAAATACCTCTTATTTTCTTTATCAGGCCAATACGTCCACTTCAAGAGTTTCATTATGAATTTAGATGAAAAGCGTACAAAACTGGATTTCTTACTGATTTCCTATCACTTCAGAATGTTTAACTCTACTGCCTTGGTGTGGATTTCAGCTGTAGTCAGATGAGGCACAGTTTATACAAGTACTTGAACAACCTTCTTAAAAAATCATTTTCACCAAAGTACCACCAAGAAGATGTGAGATCTAATCAGTACATTGAACTTGAAAAGCAAAAGTTAAGGCTCTCCAAGGCCATACTTAACTTCAATACTAATTATTTCAGAATGGAACACTTTTCCCTTTTATTCATGTTAATGTTAAGAAAGCATCCCCCACCCCCCCAAAAAAAACTATTTAGGAACTACTCTTGGGTTACAGGACTGTGTTTTTATTTTTCTATCTCATATGCAAGCTCTTCTGTCAAAAAATGGATAGTTTTTACGTGGCCCATTGGCCATACTCACAACAGTTCCTTATTATGTCTAAGATAAATGCTTAGCAGATAAAGTTTATTAAAATTAAATACTTACATTATATAAAGAAGGCTTCTTAATAGAGGAACAGATGGTTAATGGGCTGTGGCTAGCCGCAAATGAGTTTGCGACTATTACTGCATGAATCTATCAACAGATAGGAAAATGACTCTGAGCAAAAACCAATTGCCCGGAATCCGTACACAATCTAATTTTAGGTTCTTTGCTTGCTCCCACCCTCACTCCTCCAGATAGCATGAACAATATGATAGAGGCACTTTGCTGGAAACAATTGAAAAGAACTGACAAATTCATAAGGCTTCAGACCATGAAATCCCAATTGGTCCAATCACAGATCCATTTATCATGCCTGTAGAGATGTTATTAAACTACAAGTTATCATCTCTCCTACTGTGATAACTGCTGTTGGAAATGGGCCAATCCTGCAGCCAAAATAATCCCTCTGAATACATTTATTTAGGCAACTTTGCACATTTTTGAGTCAGGTCTCTTTTCTAAAATGTGTTTTATTTTATTTTATTTTCAGTCAATATAATGGATGAGCACCACGAGTAAATGGCAGAATCCAGCTATAGCATTGGTAGATCAATGGGAACCAGAAAGGGGTCATTTTCCTCCTGATTGTAAAGCACCCCCCCCAATAAATTCCAATACTAGATCTCAAGAAAACTTCCAGTCCTTGGTAACTCCAATAACTGAAACAAAGAGAGGAGAGGAGAAAAGTTCCTTTACATCACCATTTTAAAAATTCAGAATTAAATCCCATGATAGCTGTACAAGAGTAGGAATAATATCCACTCAGAAAGTATGGGAATGAAATTTCTATGGAACCCTTTCGGTCTAGAACAGTGTGGTAAAGGTATATGCCTTAAAAGGAGATGCCCTACTTTGTGCGAGCAATAGTGCTTTCTCCCAGTACAAGAACAACATTGGATACAACCCAGATACTCAATTTTGGCACTTCACCCTTCTTCATCATTGCAATACTTCTATTTTCATACTTCCCCCACTAAAACCCTGGTGCCTTTTAATTACCAGCAACCATCTGTCTTGGTTTGAGGTTTTGGGAGCAGTGGTAAGCTGTATTTGATGGGCCTTCCTTGCTCTGTGGGTGTCTGCTCCATCCAGTATCTGTTCACATACAGTGGTGCCCCGCATAGCGACGTTAATCCGTTCCAGGAAAAACGTCGCTATCTGGAAACGTCGCTATGCGGGGGGGAAACCCCATAGGAACACATTAAACAGAGCTTAATGCGTTCCTATGGGGACAAAACTCACTGCTAAGCAGGAATCCTCAATTCAGCCGCCATTTTCGCCACCTCGGTAAGTGAGGAATCGGTGCGAAAATGGTGTGGGTGGCCATTTTCTTCTTCCAGCGGCCATTTTGGAACCACCAATCAGCTGCTCCAAAACATCGCAATGCAAAGATCAGTAAGGGAAACGCTTACCGATCATCACAATGCGATGTTTATCCTATTCAGAACATCGCAATGTGATCGGTTTTTCGATCGCAAAAAATGTGTCGCTATGCGGATTTGTCGTTAAATGGTGCACTCGTTAAGCGAGGCACCACTGTATTCCCCACAGTAGCCCCTTATTAGTTGACATCTCCTGTGTCCATGAGCTCCTACACTGGCTGGTTATTAGCTCTATTCAGAATTGATTTACCTGGACTTTCCTCACACCACTTTTCACCATCAGGTGGCCCAGAAGCATTACTGCCCCAGATCTGTGGCATAACTTCTGATGAGAGTGGGCTGCTGATGATCTAACAACTCTCTGTAGAGTTGATTTCACTTGCAAGTTCATTTGACTGGGGTGTGTGGTGGTGGTGGAAAAGAAGAGGACTCAAATTCTGGAAGTTGTAGCCAAAACAGTTACTTTTCCAAGCACGGGTTCTGTTTTCCTGGAGGTCTTCAAGCAGGATGTGGTCAATCATCTGCTTTAGTCCCATTTTTGCTTGCACTGAACAGAAGAGCTAGGCTTAACAGTTTTCATGTCATTGAATGCTATGATCACATTAATGTCTGTGGACAGAGACATATGCTGGAGCTGCTGCTGAGCCAAGGCTTCGGCAGCGCAGCTCTTTTGCCTCCCCCCCCCACAGATAATGTGACACCTTAAGGTCTCACAAGGGCAGTTGGGCGAGGGGGGGGGGAACGCCAGGTTATTTAAGGGGCGTTCTGCCCTCTATCTGCCCTCTTCCTTTTCTGGCAACAGCGAAGGAGAGATCTCTGCTGAGACCTTAAGGTCTCACAAGGGCAGTTGGCCGAGGGGGGGGAAACGCCAGGTTATTTAAGGGGCGTTCTGCCCTCTATCTGCCCTCTTCCTTTTCTGACAACAGCGAAGGAGAGATCTCTGCTGTGCAGTGGCAAATTCGACTGCGTCATGAGGCATTTGGCAATCAGTATCCAGGAGGAAGGGAGGGCTGCACCGGCTCCCTCCCAAGGTTCCTTACTCTCACTTTATCTATTGTTTTACTTAAATTAAAAAGGTAAAGGATCCCCTTGACAATTTTTGTCCAGTCGTGTTCAACTCTAGTGGGCGGTGCTCATCCCTGTTTTGTCCAAAGACAATCTCCTGTGGTCACATGGGCCAGTGCGACTTAGACACGGAACGCTGTTACCTTCCCACTGAGGTGGTCCCTATTAATCTACTCGCATTAGCATGCTTTCGAACCGCTAGGTTGGCGGGAGCTGGGACAAGCGACGGGTGCTCACTCCATCGCGTGGATTCGATCTTACGACTGCTTGGTCTTCTACGACTGCAGCGCCACCACATCCCTTCTTACTTAAATTAAGTTGGTTTAAATTAAGTTTGTTTAATTTGGGTTGTAACCGGGAAGACAAGAAGGGAGGGCATCAGCGGCAGCACGGCCTGTGCCAATTATGCTCAGGCGTGAGTGGACGAGAGGAAGAAAAGAAGAAGAAGAAGAAGAAGAAGAAGAAGAAGAAGAAGAAGAAGAAGAAGAAGAAGAAGAAGAAGAAGAAGAAGAAGAAGAAGAAGAAGAAGAAGAAGAAGAGAAATAAAATAGATTATAGTGAGGCAGAGGCTGTCTGATCCATAGGGGATCCCAGGACTGGCCTCGGGTTTTGGTACACTTTATTGCAGAGGTACGGCTCAGGCTTTCGTGAGCAGCTGCTAGGCGTGAGCGGCTTTGCTCGGCTCAAAGCCGCAAGCGTTTAATTCAAATTCTTCACACACACACACACACACAGTCTCTTTCTCAATGGCTAGGCTTGTGTTCCAGCCCCCGTAGGGTTGTTTGGTACTGGAGCCAGTACCTTACTGGTTTTGCAAATATTTATTTATTTCCAAGATTTTTTTAAGCCACGCCATTACCAGTGGTCTCTGAATAGCAGGCCTACATTGTTTGTTTATTTTTTAAAGAAAAAAATAATTAAATTAAAATAAAATAGATTATTGAGTAACAAAATCGACAAATATTACTGTTACTAATATTAAATTAAATAACATAAATTAAATACATTAAGATAATTAAATAACTTTAATGTTATTATAATAAGTTAATTATAATATTATAATTGGATATTGATGTTAATAAATTAATTTATAACTAATAATTGGTAAGTGGAATAAATTAGATTTTTAAAAAAATAATTGATAAATAACCTATTCATAATTTAATCAGAGCGTACACAAATCAGGATAATTAATTAGTAAGTACGTTGGTAATCAATTAAGAGGCAATAATCAAGGAATTTATGTTATGGTGATTGCATATTAGTTGGAAAAGGAACAGTTATTAACGGTGTGGTCTGACCTGCTGGTTTTCACCACATTGTCTAGTTTTCAATTGATGGCAGAGGAGTTGGGACTCTCACTGGCAGAAGAAAAAACGGAGGGGCCAGACACATCCCTCACTTTCCTGGGTATAGAGCTGGACACAGTGCAGCAGACATCATGGCTACCAGAAAACAAATTAACAGACCTTAGGATCAGGATAGCTGCACTATTGCAAAAATGAAAGGTGCCTCTATGTGAGCTCCAGAAGATTGTAGGACACCTGAACTCCGCTTGTAGAGTGGTAGCACCTGGGCATGCATTGCAGAAATGAAAGGTGTCTCTATGTGAGCTCCAGGAGATTGTGGGACACCTGAACTTCACTTGTAGAGTGGTAGCACCTGGGCATGCATTCCTGTGCCAGCCATCCAATACCATGAAAAGCCTGTAGCACCCATTGCATAGGACCAGAATCACACGTGATGAAAGGTGTCTCTATGTGAGCTCCAGGAGATTGTGGGACACCTGAACTTCACTTGTAGAGTGGTAGCACCTGGGCATGCATTCCTGTGCCAGCCATCCAATACCATGAAAAGCCTGTAGCACCCATTGCATAGGACCAGAATCACACGTGAGGCTATGCAATGCCATGAAAGGCCTGCAGTGCCCATTGCATAGGACCAGAATCACACGTGACATGAAAGAAGATCTATGCATGTGGAGTCAGGTTTTGGCAGGGTTTAATTTGATATCTTTTTGGAGAGGTGAGATTGGGCTGAAAGCTGATTTTCAGGTCCATTCAGATGCAGCAGGTTCCCTAGGGTTTGGAATTTACTTTAGAGGAAGGTGGTGTGCCGGCACGTGGCCTGAAGAGTAGCATCAGAACAGCATTACCAGGGATTTGACATTCCTGGAATTCTTCCCATTAGTGGGTGCGCTTTGGCTATGGGCAGAGGAATGGTCAAACTCAGTGGTGCAATTGTGGTGTGGCAATCAAGCAGATGTTTGTATCATAAACAACCTTATGTCACACTCAGAATGGGTCATGACACTGGTTAGAGCATTTACATTAAGGGCTCTGCAGTTTAACATACTAGTGCAGGCCCGACATGTAACAGGTATAGAGAATAGACTAGCTGATACATTGTCGCACCAAT